GACATTTTTTTAGACATGTATGTATGCAAAATTCGTTTTTATGTCTTTATGACGTCTTTTAAATATACATGTTGCTGAGTAACATTCTATTGTATATTAATTTCAATATATAGGGTGTAACAAAAAGGTCGGGACACCTAAATTTCTCGGGAAATATAAGTTTTACAGAAAAGTGTTTCAGACAAAAGTTATATGGTTTAAAAATATCTATTTACTGATCCTATCAGTTTGATCTTGGGTTGAGTAGCCAAGATTACATTGATTTTCTGAAATGGAACATTTTTATTCAAGATTCCTATTTTTGATTCAAGAATATAATAGCTGATGACGAGAGCTTTCCAAAACGCTATAATGAAATATTTTTTTGTGAAGTACTTTTCAAGTTATAATGCTTCAATGTTACAGTATCGCCGGCATTAGCATTACCCAAAATATTTAATTTTGGAGAATGGCCAGTCAAGACGAGATCGGTCGGTGGTCCGTGAATCTTGACCTTTAGTTAACGCACAAACAAAAACATAACGCGTGGTATTACATATCTTTGGTAATGCTAGCGCCGGCGATACTGTAATTTTGAAGCATTATAACTTGAAAAGTACTTCATGAAGAAATATTTCATTATAGCGTTTTGGAAAGCTCTCGACATCAGCTATTAGATTCTTGAATCAAAAATAGGGTGTAGATATTTTTAAACCATATAACTTTTGTCTGAAACACTTTTCTGTAAAACTTAAATTTCCCGAGATATTTAGGTGTCCCGATCTTTTTGTTACACCCTGTATACACGGAGAAAATTTTATATTTAAAATTACTAATGTGGTAGTAGCTGCGGTCTTCATGTAAATTATAAGTTTAAATGCTATAATTATTTTTTTAAAAACAATAATACAACGTAATTTTTACACTTTTTTATAATAAATTTTATAGTAAAATTTTTTATTACAAAAACAAATCTTGTTGAATGAAAGTTAGTATTGTAAAGATAAGTAAAAAATATATACCTAGGAAATTTTGTTTGCGTACTATAGTAAAAATTAACTATTTTCATGTTAGAATATGGCTTAACAAAATAATTATTTTATTTATGTGATAAAAATTAGTATTACCATAGTAAAAGTTAAATCGGAATTATATGTTGTGAGGATCTATACAGGAATGTGAGGAAAATTCAAGACATAGTAAAGTGTAATTTAAAATTATATTAAAACTTCGAGGGAGTAACCACGATTAATGTAATCGTGGGACAGAATCCTCGAAATCATTATAAAATTTATATAAAATCTCTATGTATAATCCGATAAGTATATATGCAACCACGAGAAATCATTGTATAATATTAAATAAAATCATATATTTTACCAAATTACTTCATAGTAGTGAAAAAAGTTATTTGTAATCAGATGAAATCATGTAATCTGTGGGACAATATTGCAGCTAGTGGTTACCCCCTCGTAAAACTTAATATAAAATTTTCTCCTTGTAGCGATGCATATCAAAATCATTGAATCATACTTTGTAATAAATTTGTGTTTAAAACCGCGCCTTGACCTGCGTGCTTCATCATAATTATGATGACGCAGAATCATTCTAATGTAATAAAAAATTAAAACCTACTCAGTAAACAAGCTGACATTATTTGTCGTTGTTTTGACGTCAAAATGATATTAAAGACGTCGTTGATATTATTTATCGTCATTATCATGTCAAAATAACAACAAACATCAACTTGTTTATTAGATAGTTAAGTGATATTAAACTTCTAAGAAATTCTGGATACACACCTCTTAATATGACATCAAGAAGTATCTTTTTGCATAATAAATATCTCACAACGACAGACAGACAATTGAATGACGAACAAAAAACGTAACATTGTCGAATTTTAAGGGGATCCTAAAGACGATTAGTCATAGTGTAAGTAGAACTTATGGGCTTTCTACTTTTTACAATAAGCCATTACCTAATCTTTAAGTCATAAGAAACTGACCAATTCTAGTCGATTATTCTTCTCACATTTGACTGTGATTGATCAATTTCTTGTGGCTTAAGACTTAAAGCTTATATAATGGCTTATTGTAGAAAGCCTATTACACATAGACGATTTACGTGTCACTGACACATCACTACATACTACTACAATAGCTCACGCACACATAAATTTTCATATAACAATAACGTTTTAATTAGACATCTAAGTCCAATTCTCCAAGAATTCTACGTTGTTTCTTCGTGCAAACTACTAGTCTGTGAACTAATATTTCGTAAGAACAGATTGCACAACTTTTATATGAAATAAATGTTATCACAATGTGAAAGCTCTAAAGTGTCATATTGGACTAATTGTATGAAATAGTAAAAAAGTAAGAAAATCTTAATTTTTTAATTTTTTAATGTTTTTGGTACAAACTCCACCTCATAGACACGTAAAGAAAAGCCTCCTATTATAGGCGTCTAATATGAAATAGCGGCGTTTCTACTAAACTATTAAACGCTATCTGTTGGTTCCACCATGAATTTATTGCTTTTGGATTGAAAACTATTAATGGAAAATTCATTATTAGATCGTGCCTGTAGTCGTTGTAAAAAAAGATTTTAGAATTTGGATGTCTTCAAGTTTCATTAAAATGAGCTTTTAAATCTTGTTTATTATTTAATAAGTAAATATTTGGCAATAAATTCTTCATGTAGTGATTGAGTAAGATCGTACTAATAAAAAAATACGGGAATACTGAATTGCTTAATTACAGAAGTTAGATTTGATGATCATAAAACCATAAGGCGTGGAAATCGTAATATGAGAGATATTCATTCCAGTTGTTCTTTTTATTATTGTACAATGACATTTATACTTTAGCAACGATTTTCGGTGATAACATAGAAGCATAGGTTATGCTTCTATGCTAAAGTATAAATGTCATTGTACAATAATAAAAAGAACAACCGGAATGAATATCGAGTGCCTGTTTCTGTGATGCTTAGTTCCAACTACCTAAAAACAAGTCCTAGGTATGCATCGCATGCTTATTTTGCGCGCACACTGGCTGCGTCTGTTTGTATTTTAGAAACATAACATAAAGTTTTTTGTAATACTATGTACTTTGCGTTTTATTCTAGATTTCTCGGGGCATTTTATATTAGGAGCACAATTTTTGACTTTGCGATTTGTTCACTTTTTACATTTCTTTAATTTCTAAAAAAGTAGGATTTGAATTAAATTTTACATAATATTATTTTAAAGCTTATTAAATTCCCTTCAAAACCTACTATTATTTTTAAATTCTGCCCATAGACTTCTAGCATTTAATATCCAAAATGAACTCGATATCTCATAATAGGGGCCTTTCCTATATTAATGCGTATACTTTAATTCTGGAAAAGGATTTTTGAATCTACAATAAAGGAAAAAAGTAATTATTATACAAAAATTATATAATTTAGTCAGTAATACAGACGATTTTGGGATTCCTTTAATAATAGTATTAAGAGATATAATACACAAAACGTATGAATATGGCATAAGATCGTCTAGATCAAAGAAACATCTAGCATAAAGTCACATATTTTTATTTGCATAACATGTTTATTGATCCAGATGATCTTCTGCTCGCTATGCTTATGCATTTTGTGTGTTATGGTTTTAATAGGATCGTCTGTTAGTCATTATAACTGTTAATTTTGTTTGAGAAATTTCTAGAATTACGATCTCTCTTTCTCTCTCTTAGACGTGATCGCGCGTCGCCCGGCTAGTTCGATGTAAAGAGATTTAGTAATCATACGTGTTGCTCGAATCGCAAGTCTGAGTTCTACGGCTAAAAAATCCACCGAGTACTTGCTCTGAATCCGTAAATTTCAGTTTCTTATGAATTAACGTACTTTCACTGATCGAGAACACACAGTCTCTCTTTTGTAAATATTGTAAATAATCAATGTGAATAAAGTGACTCAGTTTAATACATATAAAAAATGTAGTAAATTTTAATAAATATTTGTTTGAATGATACTAATTGAATATTTACTAAATATAAAAATATATTTATTTAGTATATAAAAACCGTTGATTTTATGTAATTATTTTTTATTGTATAAATATTTATTTATTGTAAGTAAATGTTTAGTTACTATTCAAATAAATATTTATTAAAATTTAATACGTTAATTAATTTATTTTATACAAATACCACAAAATATGTTCTTCACTCGCGATACGACCCGCTTCTGAACAATTTATAAATATAAATAGATAATATAACTTAAGCCAGGAGGATAATGTAGACTATAATCCTTGCTATAATCATACTCTTTTTTTTTTTAAGTAATTTCTATATATCGTAAACTTAAATTTAAGTTCATAATATAAAAATTACTTTGTATTTTACATTCTTTGCTCCCTTCTATATTATAGAAACAAAATAAAGAATTAATGGAATCACGCGTTTAACAATTCACTTGACACCAAGCGAACAAATTATCGATTTGGAAAAAAAAATGTCCATTTGATTATCTCCAACATTCTACATATATATAGCATCTATAATAATGTCGAATCGATGAGGTTCCTAGAGGCTATTCTCAATCGACTGATTTGAAATTATTGAAGCCTTTCGTTTCGTCTGCCTTAAAAAAAAATTTCGATAATACAGTACTGAAATATACAGAACAGTATAATGATATCGTGCGTCACGGCATGTTCAGCTAAGCGTATGACGTATGACAATAAGACAAACGGAAAACGTCGCTCCTGATGGAGACGCGACACGATTCTTGGACCGCAAAATGCTCCGATGATTCTGAGTCATTACTTTAAGTGCGCAAGATATAATTCCATAATGGAATTCCGAGTATTATACGTTATTCAAGTATTCTCAGTGGGCTGTATTTTTGGTAATTTAGACCTGTCTTTAAACGAACTTTCGAATATCATTCTTTGAGATAAAAATTAAATGTAGAAATTAGTTTGTTATTCAATACGATAAAAACGTTCAAACATACATTTCTTACAGCACGACCAGATGATGGCTGACCTGAAGAATCTCACCCTGAGCGGTGGTGGAGCATCCAGGTACAGCGGTGATGAGCAGGTGCAGTTTATCCCAGGTGGGAGTCATCAGGTGACGATCAGATCACCTCCTCTCTCTTTACATTTGGAAAATCTCAACAACGCGGTCCACGGGTAAGAATAATTTATTATTGTAACAATTATACGTGCAAGTACAATTATAATCTTTAATTTTACACGATATTCAATTTCAAATTAAAAAGAACAAAATCGGTTAACCAATACAAATTAACGGTAATCGAATTCTAAAAATTAATAACAGTAGAGTGATCAGTGTGCGTTGTTTCAGTTATTTAAAAATCGATTTAAACAACACGATACTTTCTCATAATCCATTGATAAAGAATGATGATAAATTTCGCCTATTTTTTGGACCTCGAATTTCAAACTTTTTCTTATGGCAAATAGCACTATTAGATGAAACATTAATCTCAGTAAAATTTCAAGATGAGCATAGGCACGGTTCCGGAGATACAAAGGGGTGAAAGTGATGATTTCCAGTCAGGGTGTATTGCATAAGGAAGAATGTATGGATGAAGTTCATTGGTAATATTGAGATAATATTGAGGTAATATTGAGGTAATGATCGAATGGATCATCTACGATTTATTGTTCAGAGAATGATCTACTATTCACTGCTATTTCATTTATAAGGGGGTTCATGTAATGACAATTGTGTGGTTCCTTGGATTTGTTCAATATCATGGGATAAAAATACCCAATCCTGAAATATGCAATGTATCTATCACGATTCACAAAACAACCTTGCATAGTGAGAGGCAAGGGGACTCACATTAAAAAAGCACCCCGATCTGTGAGAGGCGGCATCAACTCCATCTATCTCGGGGAATTTGCATGCCAGACGAAAACTAAGGTCATATTTGAATCCGGCGTAAAAAAATCCATAAGAAACGATATGTTTCACTTCGTTAAATATATATTTTATTCCTTGGTATCGACACTTGAAAAGTTTCGTGTACTTTCATGGGTATGAGAAACCAATACTTTCATCCCTTCATATCTCCGGAACCGTGTCTATACTCATCTTAAAATTTCTCTAAGATTAATGTCACATCATATAGTACTATTTGGTATAAAAAAAGTTTGAAATTCAAGGTCCAAAAAATGGGCGAAAAAACAAGTCTTTTTACCATCACTCTTTTCGAGATTGTTCTATTAAAAGTATTAATATGATATCATATTAGTATTAAAAATATATTACAATATATATTTATATATATTACAGTCTATATATTACATATATTATAATTTATAATATCTTCAAATAACGGAAAAATGTATATGTCATAAATAAGTGTGGTGCGCATAGTATATATTCTAATACATAAAATATATTACAACAAAAACAATAAAATACGTAACCAGGTTGTTCAGAGAATTCTGTGGTATTTTGTTAGATCAAAATTGTATATACAATATCTTCGTTAAAAATGAACAAAATTTAAATTTAAAGATAGAATTTTAAAGCTTGAAATGTCTACTATCAAAAAGTTACTATAATTTTAGAGTTTATATGAATTTAATAATTTTTACATATAGAAAACTATGAACTGAAAAAAGGGAAATTTTTCTTTTCATTTTGTGAGTCTGTTACAAAAATTGCGAAAATTTTCTATTTATCACAAAAACTTGGAGTTTTTCCTATAAAATTGTTTTTTTTAAAAATGCTCCTGCAATTTTTTGTTCTTGAGTTATTCGGGAATTAAATAAAAAGGAATATTCTGACTTTTTGGTTGCTTATAACTCTGTTAAAAATCATTGTATCACAATTATAAGAAAACAGATTCTTAAAGCTGAAACATTGTTCTATCAAGTGGTATAATTTAAAAGAAAAAAGAATATGTACATTTGAGCTAAAAATGTGACATTACTTTCCCCATTTAACTGTTGCACAATGATTATAAGGACGGTAATGTCATATTTTTAGTTCAAATATATACATATATATTTTACACACATTAAAAAAAATAGTAGTTATACCAGTCGATAAAGTAAAGTTTCAATTCTGAGTTTGATTTTTAAATTGACTATGGTATGACTATTTTTAACGGCATTTTTATGAGCAATCAAAATCAAAATCAGAGTGCTTTTTTATTCAACCCGCATGTAACAAAAAATCGTAGAAATATTTTTTAAAAACGAATTTTTAGGAAAAACTTTGAGCTTTCACGTTAGATAGTCGAAAAATTTGCAACATATATATTCTATATGTAATTTTGAGTTAACAAAATACCGCAGAACTTTCTGAACAACCTAATACAATATTATTTTACCGTCAGTAAACTAGACATTATTGAAATAAAGGGTTGAATTTTAGTTGAAGATGCGTAGATTAAATTGATTAAGTATTAGATGTGAATAAAGTACAATTTAAAAAATTAAATTTTTAGTGTGAAAATACAGAGTAAAAGAAAAAGTACAGAGAAAGGAATGTATCACACATCTGATTATATAAAAGTTTTTCGTTATGTAAACGATAATATTTGACATACTATAATATTATGCCATGCTTCAGTATAAATTTACTTGACTCATACGATTTAAGTATTGGTGTAACAAAAAATGTGATCGATAAAAACAAAAATAATGACTGCGATGAAAGTAGAATAGTAATGACTGTGTTACTATGACATAATTTATAATTTATTTTGCTTGTGATTATAAATGATTTTTTTTAAAGCTATTGAGAGATCATTGAGAGTGATTAAAAAGAATAAATTGAAATCGTTACTAATATATCATATACCTTTTCTTTTTCAAGTAAAAAAAAACAACAAGATGACAACAAAAAATTAAGTTTGTCAGAGAAGAAATTATGTTTCACTTGAAAGAAAATTATTGATTCTCAATCAATTACCAACATAATCAAGTAATATTGACAAAAGAATTAATATATTCTTAATATGATCAAATTCATTTTTGTTATTTTTGTTCCACAATTTAAAAAAAACCGTTTTTTTTAATTGTGACAACTTTTATGATTTTTTAAGAAATTTAATTAATTAATTTTAGATGATGATAAGATAATGTTTACATAACTTTTAATGGTAACAACTCGAAAATCACGAGTTTTTTAAATGATGTCACTTTGGAAGTAAAGAAGCGATATCATAATTGATAACGGTAAAACTAAAGGAAAACTGACGTGTTGCAACAAGAATTTTTTTACACAATTCTTCTACGCAGTTTAACAGCACTTAGAAAGGTCTCCTCGATTACCTCGAACTCTATCAAGCAACCTTCATTTCTGGCCGTAAGAAAAGGGAATCTAGCTTCTTTGTTCGTCCTCGGGTCGTAAAACCGTTTGTGACTTATCGTTTAGCATTTCATGACAGTACCTAGAATATTGATTTATACTAACACGATGTTATGTCATGATCTCGTTAAAAAAATATATTTATATATGTTTGATACGTAAAAATATCTATTATCCATGTGATTACTAAACACTTATAATATTTAATTAATCATACGAGCAATTTTATAATCAGTATATTATTACATAACATCACCTCGATTAATTTATTAAATCTATCATCATATGTGAAAGAACAAGAATGCTGATAAGCTTGAATGCGTAACATATTTGGTTTTTTTGCTCATAAATTTATTTTTATTTATAACGCTAAATTGCTCTGAGATCCAATGAATATACAACTTATAGATGATTTAATAGTCTTGTTAGTTTAGTTCATCATTTTAAATTAACTTTGTATCGTAATCTCGAGAGCAAGCTATCATAGATTCATTCAGAAGTCATAAGCCAGAATTTGATCGTGCGTCATGAAGATTGTAAATGGGAAGGGGAAGAATACAACCCTCGGACTATACACGCGAACCTTCCCCTTAAATACTAAAGTCTAAAAGGGACCTCAAGGCTCTAGCTTCGATCGTACTTTTCTCAAGGCTTGTCCTTAAACTGGGATTTCGATTCAATTTAATCTATTGTCGCTAAAAATAACGTTCAATTTGTGTGCTAAAATGCAGAGTTTCATTATAAAGTGACATAACTTATAATATCTATAGACAACTTATTCCTGAATTGCGTGTCATGATGAATTTATTATTATTGCTAATGACAGCCGGGATGAAAGTTCACTGTAATATAAATGATTAATTTTTGTATGCATGAGTAATAAAAATTATTATGCATAACCGATTATTGATAACTTTATTATTATCTCGAAAAAAGTTTGGGTATCGATGATAAATCTATCCTTGTGAATCAAATAAAAATTCATAGGTAAAAAAAGATAGCAATAGTTCCGGGATATTTTATATGGATAGGTTATCAAATATAAGCAATACACATCTATATTAGCATGACAATCGATGCTAATTGTTTCAGAGCCCGTACAACCATCACGGTCAAGGTTTTTGACCTCGCGAGAGTTTCGATAAACCCGGACTTGGGCATTCTCCGAGATCGAGGGACCCGTATGTGCAAATATGCGTGTAGTTCGAGTTTTACTCGTGATTTCAATTGCAATTTCTTGAAAGCAAACATCGATGCATATCGAGATACACAGTCGGCTTCTACAACTCTCTGACTCATCGCTGAGTACAGTAACGCATCGGACAAAGACGCCTTTCCTTTGTGCGACTCTCTCTCGATGACTCCTGCGAGTCAGTCAAGCGAATAAAAGATGCATCCCAACGTTACTACGTGTACACTTTCATCGTAGTTTTGAGGAAGATAACAAACTAGTTCGGATCAGTATTTCAAGAAGAAAATGAATCTTTACAAAAAGGATAAAATCCTTTTGTAATTTTCTTTATTCTGTTTTATATAAGAAATATGATTTACGGAATGTGTGAAGCATTTCTTTTTTAAGTATTTGAACTCAACTCAGTGTCTTATTTCAGAATGGACACTTCACGCGTATAAAGCACAGTAAAATAGAAAGTCATTGCTTGGTACTTGAAATTTTTATAGTGCCATTACATTTTAATGTCATACATATGAAAAATCGATAGACAACGAGCAGAACTTCTAGGAAAGTTTGTGGAGGACAAGGTTTTGTAAGACTGGACTATAAACACAGAGAGGTGTATAGAATCGAATGAGTTCTGCAATAATTCTACTATTAACCGATATTATGTCTATATAAAAATAATGAAAATTATACATTCGCATTTTTATCGCGTTATCTATTCAATATACTATTCATTTGCAATTCGATCAAAATTATAAAAACACATGGAAAGACTTTTGCTACACTTAAATACTAAATGTGCAAAATCGACATGTACTTTTGTGATTTTTTTATAGTAATAAATTAAAATAAATTAACCATGTCTCATTATAAATCTTACATGTTATGTGAAACTATGAATTTAAAAATAAATTAAGTAGTTTTTTTTTTTATTCAGAAGTGTTGTGTGATAATTTACATGATAAAAGGTGATAAAAGTATTATATTCTTTTCATTTCTTTCATGCATGTGATATTTAAGTTCAATGTCAAAGTCGGTGAGTTTTAAATGCGCTTATTCATGATTCTACATAAAGTTTCTGAAAGCTATTGAAAGTGAGCAAAATCCATCAATGGCAAAATGCGTAGAGTTCTATTGGCTTCACTTGATCGCCGAATCTTTACGAGATATATCCGATTATCCAACCAATGAATAAGTAGGTTTATTTTCACTAACGCTATCGGTTGAGTCTCTTTTGTGAATTAATATCAACGTTCTCTCACAATTTCCTCAAGATTTATTTACCATATCTTTACTTATCAGTTAGTCACTTTTATTGCGTACCAGTTTTTTTTCAATGTAAGTTTTTTCCTCAATGAGCACGATTCCCAGGTAGCAAGGTCATCTATTTAACGTCATTAATTAGTCATTCTTATAACGAATGTGGCATTTAAAATGACGTCCAAACATCGTAAAAATGACGTGGATTTGTCACAGATACATAACGTCATAAATCCACGTCAAAAATACATTATTTTTTTGGTGTTATTGACGGTAGCAAGGTGTCGTCCATTTGGCGTTATTAACTAGTTATTCTTATGACGAATCTATACGGCTCCTGAGACGAAGTGAAAATTACAAAAATGAACAAATTTGTTAGGTGTTGAAGTTATAAATATTCTAGTAAATTCGATTACTTTTGTAATTTCCAGCTCATTTTAAGAATTATAATAAGCTCCTTGACGTCTCTAAACATCGTAAAAATGACGTGGATTCTTATATTTCTTATCACTCACGCAACGTCATAAACTGACATAAAAAATAGATCATTATTTTTATGTTATTAACGGAATAAATGTATGACGTTATTAATTAATCACTAATAATGTTACTAGTATGTCGACAATTAGCGATTTATTTGACGTCATTAAGTATGACATTGTAAAGACGTCATAAATAAATACCGTCATCAATTGATCAAAAAGATGACGTCATTATTACATCTTAAATAGGTCATATGACGTCAATAATTTAAAATGACTAACTATCGACATCAAAATAACGATAGCTTGCTACCTGGGTTGCTGAACGACAGGTAGAATACACGCCAGTAAAACTGACCGCATAGATCCAAGATTCTCACAAAAAATGAAATCACGGTAGTGAATCTTGTAAATGGTGGTTAGATGCAGTCATAGAAACATTTACAACCTCTCGGTACAGCGGTTACGTTTGATCGAACATGATGGGGCAAAGCAGTAAAAATCTCGTGCACATTTTTGTCTTCCTTTGACGTTAGAAAATAGTAAACTTTCACGCAGCCGTAACCGCGACAGGAATTGCAGAAAGTCTACAACGCAGAGCGCACGCAAATTCGTTATTAGCTACAAGATGTAATGATACACTGTGAAGGTACACGCTGCAAATAGTACAAAAGAAATGACTCCGACGAGAATAACGAGATGCATTGAATTTTTTCTACGAGCATCTATTATACGCTATTATAATACTGTTAATAATTAAATTCCATATTGTATTTTATACGTATCGGAATATATACGTGACAATAAATTGTCTCTTAACGCATTTGCAAGTTATAGTAAATTAGAGAGAAATTTAATAAGATAGAAGGTGAGAGATACATATACAGAGGGTGTAACTGAAATAACGCCCCCACTAATCATACAGTGCTATTCTTAATAAAAACCAAGTCAAAAAGTCCTCTAGCATTTTGCAATTTTCGCAATAGTTAACGAGATATTCTAATATTGCCGAATAAACGGATAAAAATACATAATAAACAATGGCTCAGAAGATTTAAATAAAAGAAATTAAAATAAGAAGAGCTACGAGCCAAACAAATAAATTTTAATATATACGTGATACAGGTTTAATGTCAACTGTATCACGTATATATTAAAGTTTATTTATCTGGCTCGTAGCTCTTCTTATTTTAATTTCTTTTATTTAAACGAATAAAATCGATGTATAAGACAATTTTAAGATATTTTTCCGTGTTCTTTGTGAAATATTTTAAAGACTTTTCTTAAAGATCTCTTAAAGATATCTTAAAGCTGTCTTATACGTCAATTTTAGACATTTTGTTCATTGGGTAACTAAAAACAAAATATTGCTAAAATTGCAAAATGGTAGATGACATTTCGTCTCAGTTTTTTATTAGGAATAGCACTATATGATTAGTGAGCGTTATTTCAGTTACACCCTGTATACACACACAACGCACGTATATACACGTTCATACACCATTGTTCTTTAAATCTGGAAGTGACCATGAATTAAATATTCAGTGTCCTCTATAATATTGCATCTACCTCACGTTCAACAGCTAGCACGCTACATTTCCGAAGACAATCGGTCTCGTTACTCAATGCCGTGGATTAATAGCATTGGCATCGCATACGCAAAGTGAACGCAAATTGTATAAAAATGTAGAGGACACGCTTTTAATATTTAATCATCGCTGTTTTTGGCATCTGTGATGGCAAATCCATTTTTCAACTATCTACGATCTTTCTCTTTCTCTCTTACGAAATATATTCTTAAAATCTCTTTGATTTCAAATCGACTCGTATTCGCAACTCTGCTGTATTCAACAATTGCATGTGATTATTTAATTAATGTGTGCACTGAGAAAAAAGTTGTTAACTTGACTAAATACATTTAAATAGTTTATAATGATGATTTAGTTCAAGTATTTATATGTTTAAGGTAAATATACGTGAATCATGTCAACATGTTATTTGTTTGAATTAACAAATATTTGCTTGACAAGTCCATGACCGCTGCATTTAATTGAATCAACTAATATTTTTTTGAAACAGCAACTTTTTTTCTCAAGTGTATGTTCTCAAGCAGAAAACGAGAGACATATTATATAATATGTCTGGAAATATTATGCAAAGATTGTCACGTAAAAATTCTTCGAATTTCTGCGGATTTCTGTATTTATAGAACCATTTAAATAAGAGAATTCCTGTATTCGTCAAAACGGATCTTAGTGTTTAAATATTTCTGTATGAATTTATATAGATATCGGATTCTGCAAACTGCGCATCGAAACAACTTTTTTGGTCTTGAAACGCAGTCATAAGCAGAACCAAGAGTAATATCACTTATTAAATTGACAAGCAATTTAATAATTTTTTACGCTAATAAGCACTTTTACAAGAATATTAATAATCAGATATTAACGCTGAATCTTAAATCTGTATAAATAATTTTGACGCGCAGTTTGCCGAATTAGAAACATGTATATAATTACGCAGAAACATTTAAGCACTAATATCCGCTTTGACCAAATGTAAAAATTCTCTTACTTAATAAGATTCATTGTCATCGATCCAAATTTATATCATATTATAGAACTAGAGAGAGGTACGTGCGTTATCGGACGAATGCAGGCATTCAGTTACTGGCACAGCTGGCGAAGCTAACAACCGGAAATATTTTGTTGTTACAGCGGCTCGCAGAACAATCTCCACTGCAGTTGCAACGGCGCCACGTCGAACGGGGCTGCGGCTGCGGTATGCACCGGTGGTGTTCTGGCCAGGAAGGTGCCGAACCACAGCGGCGCCAGTCCTGGTCAGAGCAAAAGGCCGGCGGTATCACTGACGCATCTCCCGAAAAGGCCACCGGTCGACGTGGAGTTCAAGAACCTGGCCTACAGTGTGTCTGAAGGTAGAAAGAGAGGTGAGACTCGAAGAAGAATTCCAATTGCAATTACACGGTCTATTCCGGGAGAAAGTCCAATTCGCATTCTAGCAGAGCGCGGTAGAGTCATTATCATGACTCGCGATTGTTATCACAAGAATGAAATAAAAAGGAAATTGAGGTGGAATGAGCGAGTCCTCCGACTTTAATCAAATTAATTGCTTATGCCTCGGAATAACATATCCGCACGATGTATTTTCGACGCCACGCGTTATCGATTCAATAACAGCTTGCTGGAACGAAGACGTAGATAATTCAAGGTGTTAGAGCGATCGGATTGAAGTGACGAATCGAATATATGGGGTACCATCAAGTAGTAGGCTTTTCGTTCCATGTTCAACGTGTGTGAACGACCTGACCGAAAAAAATCGATAGAAATGCACGGGCAGGTAGCTGTTTCGGCGCAGTTGCATCGTCCGAGGTGCAGCTGCACTAACGATAAAGAGGTCAGCCAGGGTTTGTCTATTCAAAGGATATTCGATTCGAATACATCTCTATATAATCATTTACTGGCACAGCATTGGCAAGACCGTAGAGAATTTTGGCAATCAACTACGCCAGAAGTGGGGCGTTTATACTTTCATTATAAAGTACTGTTTATCTATTTTTGCATTTGCTGACTACATTAATCACTTCGACATGTTATTCAAAATCGGATAATATCATACATGTTTAATATATCTTATGTATATAGTGATACATTTAGAAAGTTTCAATTTTTTTAAAGTCTTTATTTTAAGAAGATTTATGAATTTTTAGCGGGGTATAGTCCGCACTGCGGATATAAAATATATTAGAATATAAAGGAATACATTTCTCGTGTGTCCTCCATTTCTCTCCGCTTTCTACTGCAGGATACAAAACCATTCTAAAATGCGTGAACGGAAAATTCAGATCTGGAGAGCTGACGGCCATTATGGGACCGTCCGGCGCTGGAAAGAGCACGCTTATGAACGTTTTAGCAGGCTATAAGTAAGATTATCTCGACGGAAAATTAACGGTCCATTAGGATTGAACGATAATTGTAATTGTTTTCCAATATCTTCTAGAACATCGCATTTGAGTGGCTCGGTGCTGATAAATGGAAAGGACAGGAATCTCAGAACATTTCGAAAGATGTCCTGTTACATCATGCAGGACGATCGGCTTCTACCGCACCTGACCGTTTACGAGGCGATGACCGTTTCAGCAAATCTGAAGTTGGGGAAGGACATCAGCGCAACTGCCAAGAAAGTAGTGGTACGATAGACATTTTTTTCCTTTGTCTGACGTAATGGAGGTGTAAATCTTATCCAGAATGTCCTGTGCTTGAAATCCTGTGTAATCGAATTGGCAGATCGAGGAGATTATCGAAACCCTTGGCCTACGCGAAGCCAGCAACACGCAGACCCAAAGTCTCAGCGGCGGTCAGAGGAAGAGGCTGTCGATAGCACTAGAGCTTGTTAACAATCCCCCGGTTATGTTCTTCGACGAGCCTACTTCTGGTTTAGACAGCTCTGCTTGTTTCCAATGTCTAAGTTTGCTCAAATCTCTAAGCAGAGGAGGTAAAGTTCCCACGGGATTTTCCACGGCCTTCACGCGTTTATAAGCAGAAAGGGAATTGTTACCGATTGCTGGTGTCTCTTACAGGAAGGACAATCATATGCACGATCCATCAACCGAGTGCGCGACTATTTGAGATGTTTGATCATTTGTATCTACTTGCCGAAGGCCAGTGTATATATCAGGGTAATGTCGGTGGTTTAGTGCCCTTTTTGTCATCGATGGGCCTTGATTGCCCGAGTTATCATAATCCAGCAGATTACGGCAAGTATACTTGATGAAGATTTCTAATCAATCTAAATTTCAATTGTTTAAATCATGATTTCTTTCGTTCGATAAACTGATTCAGGATAAGATTAATTTCGATTTGAATGAGATTTGGAACATCTTACACCGCGCGATGCGTTAACGAAATCTTATCGGTTCAGTGATGGAAGTCGCTTGCGGGGAGCACGGCGAGTGTGTTCACAAGCTTGTGATGGCTGTGAACAACGGTAAGTGCAACAACTATCAACATCATCAAGCGGCCATCGCCGTGGCGCAAACGGTATCGAATGACATCGCCAAGGAGTCGCCGCAGGAGCAGACGAAACCGGAAGGCACCGCTCTGATACCCAACGGAGTCGCGAAGTCATCAACTGGCACAACAGTGATCAATATGCCAGTTTCTTGTACAACATCATTGTTGGACAGCGCGGAAAGCATAGAGCAGAAGGTCGGCTTCCCGACGAATGGTTGGATGCAATTCTGGATACTGCTCAAGAGGACATTTATGTCGCAGATACGAGACTTGGTAAATACATCGCGCGCGTACTTACGTAGAATTTAAAATATCCCTCTCTCCACTTATTTTTCTAAGGAAAATGACATTTCATCATCAAATAAAAAATAATCGAGCTTAAAAATTGTGCGAACAACTATATTATATTGTTAAACTTGGTTCAATTTTGTATCGTAACAGAAAATGCAACATGTTACTTAATGGAAATTTTTGATTAGTAACATCTACTTTAAGACGTCTGATTTTTGCTATATCTCTTTTATAGACACTAACAAAGGTAAGACTGATCTCGCATATAATCGTCGGCTTCCTGATCGGCGCAATTTACTATGACATCGGCAACGAGGCCTCAGAGGTCATGAGTAATGCCGGATGTGTCTTCTTTACGGTGATGTTTCTTATGTTCACCGCCATGATGCCTACGATATTAACATGTAAGTGATTTATAATATTATATAACAAAATATGTTCGCAAAGCGATTTATTACTCATTTTATTATCACTATGTCACTTTTAGTTCCGATGGAAATGTCCGTGTTTGTGAGAGAGCACCTCAACTACTGGTACTCGGTGAAAGCTTTTTACCTCGCGAGAACATTGGCGGATTTGCCGTTCCAAGTGAGTACAATTTACGGTCTACGTTGTCCAATTAGAGCTAGACACATCGGGGCGACTCACGCGATGGTAAATTATTACAGATGGTGTACTCTATAGCCTACGTAATGATCGTATACTTCATTACGTCGCAACCGTTGGAGACAGAGCGTTTTCTTATGTACTTAAATATATGTATACTGACATCGCTGGTCTCGCAATCCATCGGTCTGCTGATAGGAGCAGCAATGAGCGTGGAGGTAATGTCGGTAATCGACAAAGTATACTGTCCTTAAGAACAACTTCCTTGTACTATTATCTTTTAAAAAATGCAAACCGGGAACCAACTGGTTTCCGGTTTTTTTCGATCTTCCTTGTTATTTAATCCTAATAATATTATCGTTCACAGAGTGGAGTGTTCATCGGACCCGTGACGTCGGTTCCGATCATCCTGTTCTCCGGCTTCTTCGTTAACTTCAACGCCGTACCAAAGTATCTAAAGTTCCTCTCGTACGTGAGCTACGTGAGGTACGGCTTCGAAGGCGCCATGATCTCCGTGTACGGTTACAATCGGGCGAAGCTCAAGTGTTCCGAGTATTACTGCCACTTCAAGAGTCCGACGAAGTTTCTCGAACAGATGGCCATGGAGAACGCGATCTACTGGGTGGACGTTGTCGCCCTGCTCGGCTTTCTGCTCGTTCTGAGAGTGGCCGTTTACTTCGTGCTGAAACTCAAGCTGCGATCCCTTCGTTAAATACTCCGACAGGAGTCCAGGACAGACAATAATCGATCACATCACGATTCTACGACCGCCATAAACTACGATCTGGATATCATCAAAGATCATACTTTCGTAAATACGAGAGGAACCAACGATGAGGAAGAGAATCGAGATTATTTCGATCTTGAGATTGGGAAAGATAGAACTATATATTTAATAAACATCAGCGACAAATATCTCGCTGTATAAAAGGAGAATTACGAAAAAGACAAAAACTTTAAATAGGGACATTAAAATAATGCGGTAAATCGTCGCTTTAATTCGAACAATCGCATGACATGCGAACTTTAATACGTGATTTGTTAGAGATCGCAAGATCTTTATTTTATTTCCCGTCTCTTTCTCTATTAAAGTATAATATTTTTTTATGAATTCCAATGATGTAGCGTTAACGCTTCAAGGGGTGCTTAATTATTGATCGTAGTGGTGTTTTTGGTACCAAACCAAATGATCTCTGCCATTGGCATAAGATGACACACTATCGTACTTTGTTAGTTCGAGTAAGTAAAGTAGCTACCAGTTACCGCGACGAAAACTCGAATCTGATTAAAAACGAATCGTAATCTTAGATAGGCATTTAAGTAAGTAGTCCAGGCAAAAGTTAGGCTACTTTCAATTGCGCATTGACAACAGTAAGCCGATCCGCGACGGCAATACGTCGGGCTATCCGGTATCGAATTAAAACCGCGAACGTTTATAGCCAATTACTACGAACTCGCCAGGAGCCTTAGGCCCATTTGAGACTTCGTGTCCCTCCAACGAACGCGAACGCGAACAAAATAGTGATTTCTATAGGTAGGCAGGGTAGGATACATGGATCGTTAAAACAAGTCTTTCATTCTCATCTTACATTACACATAGTTCGCCACGTTCAATTGTGGCTACGACGGGTATTTCGGTGGTAAATGAATCGCATTATTTATATTTTATGATCATAATATCTCGAACAGCAGCAATTTGCGAACACCGAGAGCAATGATCGTTCACGACATTTTATCAAGACGGTTATAGAAATCGCGTCGTTTCATATAATCACGTAATCGCTCTTTCTTCATATCGTAATTTCATTAACGATTTACCTAATAGCTAATAATTATTATCATAAAGCGGGAAATGATGGGGAAGAGAAGCGTTTATTGTAAAAAGCTCACACTTGACCAATCACTAGCTGCCTGAGCGTTGCTTCTAAGTGCGAGTACTAAGTGTTGTTACACTTATCATAGTCTATAAAAAATCCGAGCAGTGGAAAAATTGTATAGTTGTATAAAGATGAGATAAATTGTGCGTTAATGAGAGAGAGAGAGAGAGAGAGAGAGAGAAAGAATATGTTGTTTTTTTAATAATACAATTTGCGGCCTACGCGCGAGTATACATCCCTTCGGATTTATTTATTCAACAATTGGCGGAGATGGCAATGATTAAAACTATATTGTAGATATTTTCAATTGGTTTTGCACACAATCGAGACTCGCTGCAAACGATATTAATATTAATCGGTGTGGCTGTAATCAACAGGAAGCTGTTAACACGGGAAGAGGCGATATATGTAGTACAAATGTTGATTTTACAGGAATAAGGGCGTGTTTTATTTTTAAAAGTAAAAAAGGATATTAGTTATGATATTTTTTATGTTACACACAATGCTAGGTGTACATAACAATGAATATATTTCCCACTTTTTTATTTGTATCAATGAATGAACATCGACAAAGGCAGAACGACAAGGCAATATAGTTTATCGTGAAAGTTGTTATTTTGTGCATCTTACCTGATAATCTCGCAATATTTTTTATTACAAGTATATATTGTGTTTGTCGGTAATGGTAATATTGTTTAGCTAATTATCAGGGTTGGGTAATGCCAAGTTAAAAAGCTAAAAGTTAAGTTAATAAAAAAAAGTAATTGAAAAATTAAAAGTTAAATTTCTTTCTATTTTATGATTTCAGAGTCTTACAAATAACGGAAATGACAAACATATACTTCATTTAGAACATACTCTATATTTTACTTAAAAGTTTTGTTTGCATATATATTATTTACATTATATATTGATTTCAATCTAGCAAAAACCGTATATTTTAATGTATCTAGTTTTGTGATAGGTTGAAATCTATATACATATATATACGTATATATAACAGTATATATAAACAAAAAGTTTAAATAAAATATAGAGTATATTCTAAATGAAGTATATGTTTGTCATTTCCGTTATTTGTAAGACTCTGAAATCATAAAATAGAAAGAAATTTAACTTTTAATTTTTCAATTACTTTTTTTTATTAACTTAACTTTTAATTCAATTAATTTCATTATACATTAACTTGTATCTTAACTAAGTTAAATTTTCAAGGTTAACTTTAACTTAACTTAGTTAAAAGAAAAAATTAACTTATCCAACCCTGCTAATTATATATATATAGCAAAATTACATTCGTTATCCACGTAAGTGATAGGAACAGTATTTATATTTTGATATTATTTTTACTTTATACTCACATTTCTTTATTACATTATCACTTTATTATTATACATTACCAGAAACTACATTGTATAGCAATATGGAAAAAAAATACTTAAGTTTGAGTACTTAGGTTTATGTATAGATACGAAATAATCAAGATATATAATTTCTTTGAACCGCCCGATATTATTATGCGTTATCTTGTGTAATGATTGTATAATGATTGTATATAATAATTTCTTCTTTCTTGCCATGTGACAACTCTTTGAATTTAGAACAATTTTTAGATAACGCTGCAATAGATATTAATTTCTAAAGAATATATAATTACAATTCGCGCGCATATATAATAATTTTATTCCATTTTATTTCATAAACTATTATATAATAATAGTATTATATAACACGTTGCTAAATATGTATATGTATATCTTTGGAAATATTACTGAGATTTTTAGAAGTCTGGCTATTGTAAAATATATTTTTCCAGCATTGAAATGCAGAATCAAATATCGTTTTTCGCTGAAGAATTTGCACGCATGCTTTTCGCGTCATATGATTTTAATATTGGATGTATTAAATTAAAAGAAGATATGTGCATTAACCTGCAAAGTGAAAAATAAATTTCTATATTTTTAGAGTTATATGTCTTACAAGGTCTCATTGATTGTATTTGTTGTACTTGTCGTCGAAAAGATATATGGCTTAATTATCACGATAGTGATACGAGAAGAGAGACAATTTAGAACACAAATTTACTGCTTTAGATTATTGTGTCTTTCGTTATTGTATTACCCGCATAAAAATATATTACTAGTGTCACTAATGCAATAAGTAAATTCGACAAGTGGTGTCACTAATAATGTAATAGTAGTGGAGAAAAATTCATTAAAATTTCACTAAAATTTTATTATTTTACAATTTGAAATTTTAATGAAATTTTCTCCACTGTATTACATTATTAGTGACACCACTTGTCGAATTTATTTATTGCACTAGTGACACTAGTATATTTTCATGCGGGTATAAAACTTAATTTCTATATTGCTTGCTGAATTGATAAATGTGAATGGGTTTTATATATATATATATATATCATGCCAAAAATATATTGGTTAATTAGCTTTCTGCGTGACTACGTAGAATGTCAATGACCTGATGTTAACCAAAAGAAAAAGCAGATGTTACATGACATTTAGATATAAAAGAAAGTTTTATCCGTTACGATAAAAAGTTCGTGTTTACGGTGGCATTTGTAAATATATGATATCCCAATGATAGATTCACATGCACGTACGGGATACGTTGTTAAATTAATAACCGTTAACAGACCTCGATAAGCTGCTTTGGAAAGTTTTATCCCGAAAAAGCGCGCACTATCTTCATATAGCAATATTATAGTGTACTGTAAATTTCTCTCGATTCACTCAATCCATACAATCGAGATCTGAACTTACAGTACGCCGATGTATCAATCGTCTCTTTTGATAATTAGCAGCTAATCCCGATCATGCTCGATTGTGATATATAATTTCCTGTTTATATCAAATCTCATAAATCATATATAATATCGCGCAAGTCGCGCTCTAAAAGGTCAGTGTGCAAGGAAAGAGATCAAAATATAACGATCTAGATTGTACTTTTTTTTTTAATCATACCACACGCGCTCTGTGTTCAAGCTTCACGAGCGTTATCAGCAAACGCGCGAATTCTTTATTGTAAACCCGTGATGATTCCGCTCGTGAAACAGAAAGAAACGCAAAATGGAATATACGAGAGTGCAATATGTAAGAATTCATTTCAATCCATTTGTCGCTTCTCGCTATAGACTATACCACGTGTCCAAACGCACACACATACACATGTATGCATACATCGATATTCAATGTATATCATAACACGACCATCATACCGAATATCGCAATCTTTTTCCACTACCGTGATTTTATACGACAGAAAGAATGTGAATGCATCGTGTGACTGTGCGCGAGTGTGTGTACAGAGACGCGGGCGTAGGATAGATCTTTTTTTCCAGGATGATGAGGAAGAAACGGGGTGAAGAACCTCGCCGGACCTTCGGCGCTAATGTACTGCGTGTCTTGAATTTATCGAGGGACGTCACGTTTGTACTAAAGCACAAATGAATAAACGATTGTATCAATGAGCGAGTTGTTTTTCTTGCGTGAAATCCGGTCATCAAGATGTTTATTTATTGACGTCATATTTTCGCCAACGAAATATCGACTTTGGAATTAATTGAAGTCTGGACGAGGTAAGTGGAGAAATGACGTAGAAATATTCTGTATAATATAGTGTTGTACGTTTTAGCGAGAAATGTGTTACAACGTTGCCGAATTGCAACCTTTAAATCGACGACGTTAAAGAGTAACATCGAAATTACGTGTATATACAGCCAATGTAGATACGGACCACTCTCATTTTCAAAATATACCTTTTTTAGTAGCGTTGTTACTAAATTATTAATTTTGAATAAATCTAAGTGATTTTAAATAATTGTGAAAGAAAAAAATTTTTTATTATATTAATCATTTTTTGATCGATGTTTTCTACTCGTTGCCTACGAACTTTACAAAAGGATTCTTTCCGCACTACGAAAAATTAGGGATAATCGATAAAATGAATTTACGTATAATGTACCCACACAGCACAAAGCTCTGATTAAATTTCCAGGATGCTCATTTTACTGAGCTCTCGGGGAGCTTATAAAATTCGACTAAACTTCCAAGGAGTTCATGTTGCTGAGCTTCCAGGAAGCTTACAAAATACAACTAAATAAGTTCTCAGGGAGTTTATTTTGCTGAGCTCTTGGGGAGCTTATAAAATTCGACAAAACTCTCAGGGAATTCATATTCCTGAGCTTCTAGGGAGCTTACAAAATTCGACTAAATAAGTTCTCAGAGAGTTCATTTTGCTGAGCTCTCGGGAGCTTAAAAAGAGCTCCTTGCGAATTAAAATGAAGCTCCCAGGGAACTCTCAAAAGCAGACATAGGAGTTCCCGAGAAGTTCTTTTTGAAGCTCAAATGAAGTTTACAAAAATGTTATAAGCTCCCGGGGAGCTCTCCGTACTGTGTGGGTAACTTATAACAAAAGATGTAATATAAAAGGCTTAATAATATATAGTTCTTGAATATGGTGTGTTGTATCAAATATTTTGTTTTACATATTATATTTGATACTGTAGACAACTGCATGTCTAAAAGATATTATAAAGTCATCATAAAGACATCTTCTGGGATATATACATGTTTAAAAGAGACATCATAAAGAAATCTAGACAATGCATGTGGTCTGAAACACCAAAATTTAAAATCTATTATTGAGTTTTGTTGTGTCTATTACCTTTTTTGTTCATCACATTATATTATGAACCACAATATAAATACGTGAAAATAAACTTACTTCACGGGAACCTAATTTTCCATACAGTTAGTGCGGAGTCTTTTCTAAGATTTTCTTTTATCTGGCTTATTATATCTCTCTTTCTTTGGAACGTTGCCAAGATGATATTTGATCTGCATGTGGACCGCATGTGATCCAAGTTGGTCCAAGCGACTTGCATGCTTAGTGTAGCACTGATTGCGAACATTGCAACACGAGCGAGAGTTGTTCTACGTGCGTGATTGCACAGATAAGATAAAGGCCCACAAAACGGGAGCATGGAGAAACCTATAGTACGGGCGAGAGTAGTGAAGGTCCTAGGCAGGACGGGATCTCAAGGACAATGCACGCAGGTCAAAGTAGAATTCCTAAATGAGCAGAACAGGCAGCTAATTAGGAATGTCAAAGGTCCAGTGCGCGAAGGTGATATTCTGACGTTGCTGGAATCTGAACGAGAGGCCAGGAGACTCCGTTAAACTAAAGAAAATAATCGTCGCGTGCCTCGAGAATACTTCAAGAGAGATGCATCGAAATTAAATATTAATATTCTGGCGATAAGCACGATAACGAAGTCAAGGAAGAAAGTGTTCTTGGAATTTACCATGTCTTTTATTTCTAAATTTTGAAGAAAATGTAATAAATAAGAAGGAAACACATATTTTATATCTGCGAAAAATGGAGTTTTCTTACTGTTATACATAACGGTTGTTTTGTCTGTCCACTTTTAGTGTGCGAATAAATGATAGTTTGTGATGTACATACTTTATTATCTTTTTTTTATGTGTCATAAATATATCAAAAATTGATGTATATTTTTCGTAGAATTTCGAAGAAGGAGCTAAAAATAATAGCTTGACGCGGCGCATCGTAGTTCTCAAACATTCGCGATTAAATTTAGCCAGACCCCAGTGCGCTTTGTTCCACAATCGCAAGATGGTGCTCAGAAATCTTTACAAGTCTTATATAAACAAATCAATATTTACAAGATTCTAAAACATTTATTTAAAAAATAATTTAAAAAAAATACGTATATTTTTATATAACTTTCAATTTCAGCCCGTTTTTACCAGACATAATTACTATACACGGAGAGAATTTTCTTTTAAAATTTACCCTGAAAATATGGTGATTGTGGTACAATACAATATTTTAAAGATTTTTACCATGCACTTCAGTAAAATTGATCAAACTTATTTTATACTTTATTGTAGTTTTATTAATGAATGAGAGAGATTTATATTAAAATTCTTCGAAATACAATGTTGTCCCACGACTGTCATATTTTTAGAGTAAATTCTAAGAAAAAATTCTCTCCATGTATGCATCAAAGTGCATCTATAATTACTAGTAATTATATAGAGGTTTTTAATAAATTCAATCTCTTCTAAACATATAGGTCCGTATTCAGAATGCGCTTACAACGATGTTAGCACACTAACATACTATACTTTATGTCGCGTATATTATAGAATTTCAGAGATAAAAGTGCGCTTTTATCGATAAAAGCGCGTTCTGAATACGGGCCATATTGTCAATTTAAGGTATAAATTTAGCAAAAACGAAATATAGAGGCCCTCCACCACCCCCACCAATTTTATCGGCGGCCCTCTTTTCTTTGTAAGTATACTCACCCATAAAACAAACGAACTACTAATAAATTTAATAGCCCGTTTTTGCAGGTAAGTATATCTTTAATTTATTTTTTTATTTTTATGTCTAATTATTTTATTGTATTTCGCTAATGAAATTGCAATAACTTTTTTAATATTATTCCTTTTTGTATTATTTCGTTATACAATTCGATATTACAATTAGAATAATTATTTACAATACAATTATTAATTCTGTTCAAAATATAAAAAAGTGATAATATAGGACCATAATTAAAAAATTTTAGTAATGCGAGATTATACGAAAACGTCGAAAATATGTACAATAATAAAAATTTTTCTAAACCAATGTTTAATGAAATATTAAATGCAGAAGAAATACTAACAACAATTAGACCGTATTTACTATTAATTATTAATCTCCGATTATAAAAATTAATAATATCGCGATAAAAAGTCATTAATATATTTATAACAGCGCTGTATTTCATGGCGTTCAAGATAACTATTATAACTTAATAATTTCATCGTATCAAAGTCCCTCCGCCTTGTAGTTATCATATATTTCGTCGATTTCGTGTAATTTACATCAATAAAGAAACAAAAAATTTGATTTACTACGACAAGATAAATGCTATTTGTATTGAATAGATGTTATATAGAACTGATATACGTATATATTCCAATAAATACATAATTTATTAGTAATTATTGTTCAAATTACAAAAGTAAATGTGATAACATTTATCTGGACATAGTTTTTATATAAATTCTATATCAGGTACCTAATACTATCATACATACATTTATTTACAATAAAATTAATTACGATATTAACGCGTTATATAATTTGTACGTGTATAAAATTTTACAGAAAAGTTCGGTTTCAGGGGAGCTGAAAAGGCAATGAAATTTAAAATTAATTTGGTTTATTTTCATATTTGATAATTGGAACGAGATACTGATAATTAAATAATATTTAAAATTAAATAATATTTAAAATTAAATAAAATTTAAAATTAATTAAAAATTTTATTTAATTTTTAATCCCTTCTTTCCAATTATTAAGTATGTACAGATGATGTCTGTGTATTCCTACCTACATATTATAGTTTACTGTTTAGATATATTATGTGATATCCTTTATATATATTTTATTTTTAAAATAAAATTTAATTACCCGATCGCGAAATTTATTTAAGTGTTATTTAATTTGTAATAACTTAATTTTTCAATTTAGATGGTTGTGGTTATCCCTACCTATACAGTCTCTATCTATCCATACTTGTCCTACCTACTCGTATTTTCATTTATTCACGTCATATTCACACTTTTCTTCACCCGTGCATTCCTACCTATATTATCTACTTTATAAATATTCAATAACATCGCGAATACATGTAATACGTCAATGGTTGTATTCATCAGAGAAAGTAGCTTTTCAATTATTGTAAACAACTTTTTAATACAATTGATTCCTTATGGATTTAAATGTATAAACAAATCATATTGAAGAATTTTACAACAATTGCAAAGCTGCTTTCTCTGCTGAATGCAGCTAACGCCTAACCATCTCCTATCGCGTGCTGATAAATTCAGCGGGATGACCTAATCGCGATCATAATAATAATAAATAAGTAATAAACACTAATTATTAAAACAGGCTTTCAATTTTTAAAATACAAAAAAAATTAACAAATAACAGAGCTAATGAGAGTCAACACGGATAATCAAACGCAAGTTTTGTATATTAAAAAAATCTACAAAACTT